TCTGCCTGGCTGTGTGTTTCCTGGACGGGGCCGCTTTTTACAGCTGCTTTCTGTATCTCTGCTTCTGTCTCCTTGAACCCCAGTCAGCCTCAGCAGATGGCCGCTCACACTGAGCCTGGTTCTGCTGGAGGTTCCTTCCTGTTACAAGGAGTTTTTCCTCTCCACTGTCACTACAAGCATGCTTAGTGTGAGGGATATGGAAGTAAATCTTTGCCGCTGGGATTTAAATTAAAAATGTCACTAAAATATAAATGTTGTGTGTTTGTACTTACTCTTTCTGTGTTAAAATATATTCTGAAAACATTTTCAATCAAAAAAAAATTAATTGTTAGTATATCTATATAGTTAAAATTTTATTTATTTTCACTTCAAGCTGAAAATTCACATTACTATTTCACAGTTAATACAGTTTCAATACCTGTTTTTTTTTTGCAGTTGGACTTTTCAGTGTTAAAAACAACGCAGCACATAAAAAATTTAGACTTTCAAAATTTAAACTCAATATTTTCAGCAACTGTGATTCAGCTGGCTCAATTTCACTGTTAAATTCATCTTCTAAATTAAATTCAATGTAAAAAAGGGAAGGGTTACTTCAGGTCACAGACATTAGCAATGAATTGTGGTGTCCAACACTCCAATCAAGTAGCTGAGGCCGCTCACACTGAGCCTGGTTCTGCTGGAGGTCACTTCCTGTTAAAAAGGAGTTTTTCCTCTCCACTGTCGCTACAAGCATGCTTAGTGTGAGGGATTGCATTCAAGACAATGTTTCGATACAATCCACTGGTTTTCCTTAGATAGAAAACTTTGAATCAGTTTGACTGGATGATCTGGTGAACTGCAAAGTGCCTTGAAAAGACGTGTGTTGTGAATTGGTGCAAGAAAAAATAAATTGAATTGAGTTAAAGTCAAGATAAAAAACTGTTCCAGGTCATAACTCAGAAGTAAAAGAATTGGAATGACTGTAAAAGAAAAACATATCTACTTTAGTGTCAATTTCTAGAATGGTCACCTTATTACCACAATCAGAGGTGCATGATTACCTGTTCTGGAGCAAGGTAGGTTCAGATGAGAGGTCATGTTAGAGAGAATAGGGTTCACACTGGATTCAAGCAAAGATCCAAACACAGAAGAAGAGAGACGTCCTCTGGTTTGCTTCAGGAAGAATTATTCTCTAGCTCCCAGTCTCCAGCTCAGGTCTCATTAAATGGATCAAAAAAGTAACTTTCACCTTCTCACATACGTCCTTTAACTCTCTCCTCCCTCAGGTTTATATCCTAGCAGCTCCTCCACCTCTCAGTTATTCAGGGAAAGAACAAAAAAAAAAAAATCTCCAAAGCAACAACAATCCAGAGGCTTTTTAAAAGGGTCGACTTGCACCACAGGGCCCTCTAGTACTCTCCTCCCATGCACACTCATGTGTTCACATACCACAAAAACATGAACTCCTTCTGCATTACGTTTACGTGTCTCTCTACGAAAAACATCATCAAATTTCCGCTCTCACACTTTTAATGATGTGAACGTTTTATTTATCACAGAAAAAAATCATATCACACATAAACACTGACAGTTTCTTCAGCTTCCAGGCACATACTGTACTCACTCACATGCACACTCAGCTTGGAGTTCCTCACCTCTAATCTGCTTACAGCTTTCAGACTTTAGGGTCTGTTGCTGCAAAATATTCACACAGAAGTGCTTACCTTTTTACAAACTGTTCTAGTACTGTAGTAGATCTATGCAGATTAGAGTACAAACAGCAAACATCAGAACAGGTCACACCAGGTTTCATGCAGATTTTTTGATTTTTATAAGAAATACTTCAACAAATATGGTTAACCCTTTATAGGGCACTCAGTGAAATACGTTAAAAATCCAAATTTCATTGGAATCCAGGACAAGGCCTTCTTTCCTTTGTAACATTAAAAAAATATGGATATTTTAATGGCAAAAATAAATGTAAATGTAACAAGAAACAACAACTTATCCAAATATATTAAGAGAAATAACAAAAGTGCTTCTATAAGAAATTCATGACAAACACTCTGAGAGTGAAAGAAAGATTTTCTTTGGTACAACATAACCTTAGAGGCATTAATGCTGATACTGGCACTTAGATTTTTCAGTTTATAAACCTAAATATAATTGTTAATTAGGCTTATTAACTTTTTAACTTTACTTTTTAAATTTTCAATTAGCTTTTTACCTTTTTTTTCTTGACTTGTTAACTTTTTTTTCAACTCAGTTTACAGTAGGTAATATATCATTCAAGGGCCCATTTAAATGGTCAAATGCTAAAATAAGATGTACAGCCATGTAGCAGGGTCTTTGCTGAATGGCTGGAAATAGATCTTGACCTACACTATAGATCTAGACCTCACTGAGGGACGGGTGGGGGGTTTGTACTCCATTTTAAGGGGTAAGCAAGTGATCAAAAACCGTAACTTATCCTATAAAGCAGAGGTCTTCAACAGGGGGTCCGCGACTCCCAGAGGGTCCATAGAGGTACTGCATGGGGATTGTGAAAGTTTTGGTTGATTCCCCCCTTCACTTTTTTCTACTAATTGAATTCTTTAATCTTTAAATCCACATTAATGTGAATTCAACAGACTGTAGTAAACAGATAAATGGAGGCAGAACATGTCTTTCAGGCATCAATGCTCACATTCAGCGACACACAGGAGCTTTTTCAAGCTGGGTACCGTTTCATTCACAACACCTGTCCCATCAACCAGCAATCAGAAATACTTTAATAATCCCAGGGAGAAATTACTTTAGTTACATTACTCCATCTGTAATAGAGTGACTATAGGACCAGTTGGATATGATACTTTTAATACTATATATAAGTAGGGGGTTCCCGCTCCATCTCGCCATCAGTTTGGGGGTCCTTGGCCTGAAAAAGGTTGAAGACCCCTCCTATAAAGGGTTAAATTGGTTATTCGCAGACAAAGGGCCTGAGGATCAAAATGGGGGTCACTGATTTCAGCGTGCAATAATTGGGTTTTATGTGTGCAACATGTTGCTGGGGATCTACAAAGATTGCTGCACAGATGTTAAGAAATCCAAACCAATTTCTTTTCCGGCAATTAAAATGAGCAGATTGCATTTTCTACAGGCAGTTTGAGTGTGGCCATAAAAGAAAGCTGAGGCTCTAAGCTGTGGAGATGGAGCTATAAATGATAATTAAGAATTAACAATTTTAATGCTAAAGGCTATTCATAGAGGGCAAACAAAAGTAAAAAGTAAAATTAATAAAGTAGAAATAAAAAAAATCTCATAAAACATTAGAAAGTTGTCTTTTTTGGTTGCTTAACTTGAGCTTAAGTTTGTGCGTCCAGTAGAGACCGGAGTAGAACTGCTTTCCCTCTACATCTTGAGGAGTCAACGGAGGTCTGGCCGTTTCTCATTATATGTAATTGTGTGTTCTCATGTGCTCGTGAAACGTCATCACCCCCCACCCCTAGTACTGTTCCAAATCACAAAAATAACAGACCAAGAATGGTAAAAGTTCCTGGATGTTGTTCACGCCCCTCCATCTTTACCCAGCATGCATCAGAGCAGACTTGTCCTTTCTCAAGATTGAAAGCTTTCCCAGCATGCACCGCGGCAGCAGCAGCTTTGCAGTGCTCACAGAGCTTTAAATATTAACTTAAAAGTTCACTTTTCTGTTGCTGATTTCTTATAAAAGTCAATTTAAGATCATTTGCGGTGATCTTCATTTATATATATGTCCACTTACTCTTTTACTGTGTAATTTTTAAAAAGGTCCGATGTCGAGAGGACCGTAGCAATCAGCGTCCTCCGAGGCTAACCACATCCAGGGCTAAGGTTAGCCAGTCTGGAGCAGCCCTTTCTCAGCATAGTGTGAAAAAAAGCTGGCTCTGATGGCGATTCTTTATTTTTTTTGGTCAAAAGTTCATTCCATTTGTGTTTATCTGACTGTGTTCATTACTGTTCCCCCACTAAATGAAAAAAAGTCATAATTTAGTATTATCTAGAGACTATCAATTAGTGTTGCAACGATTCAATACTAGTATCGGGCGAGGAGGCCCCGATCCATCACTAAAATGGTGATATCGGTATGAGCAAGTACCAACAAATACCATTTTGAGAGCCAAAAATTTATTCAACTATTGTCACCCATTCCAGGTAGGAAATAAAAAGTTCTACAGGATTTACTTTGTATTAGACTTTTTCCTGCTTCACAAAGGTAGGCAGCAGCTTGACAAAGCCATGATGGCAATTATTTTACATCCAAGTAGTTTGCAGTTCTTCATATATCCACACACACATGAATTTAAAGCAGATGGTATCGGTATCAGACGAAAAATGGCAAAAACATAAATAAAAAATGGCAATGGTGCAACACTACAAATTATAACAGGAGGTGAAATGCAGCTCCAGACTAGTATTAAAAATGGTAATAAATGAGTATGCTTCTGTTCCAAATAACCCATATTTATGCTGCATGCTTCGTTCTCCCCGAATCCATACTTTCCTGTGTTCTTGCCAAGACTGTACTCAGCGAGAACATTACACTGCAGAAACAAAATTTCTCAAAATTAGTAAAATTGTCTTAAATTAATGGTATGTATCCTTAATTTTCGCAGGTAAATAAGATTCTTTGCCAATGGAATGAGTATTTTTACTCTTAAAATAAGGTATCTAGATATTATGCACTTGAAATAAGACAATGCAATTGTTTTTTCTTATTTTAAGTGTAAATTGTCTTGTTCCCTTGGCAAAGCGTCTAACGCCTATTTTAAGAAAAAATTGCTTTTTTGGATTTAATTTTTTTGCAGTGTAGTGCAAGGAGCTAAGTCCTTTAGCAAAGAAGAATAATAAACATCTGAACAAGATCGCACACCTTCATAAATGGCAGCATAAAGGTTCGGTTAATGTGGAGCCACAATTCCCATTTTTTTCAAATGGCAATTTGAACAAAATTAAATCCTAAATATTTGAGAAACTTCATAATCAAAAAAACGTTTTGAGAATAACTCAAACTCCCTACCTGCTTTCATCTTGTTTTTATTTTCACTTGCTTTTATTCTGCTTTTGTTGCCCTTCTAGTTTACTGTTTAATTCATTCAAAGCAGAATTTTCTCTATACTAAACTTGCCTGGTCTTGCCTAGTTTCCAATCAATCTAGCTGAATACTTATTGGTTAAATCGAAAATGTTGCAACTTGGCCCGATGTCCTTATTTCAATGACAAAAGTAGGGAGCAACAAGGGAGACAAGGCTGTACAGCAGGACAGTCTCACTCCCCTGCAACACCTGTAGATCCAGTAGATCAGTTTTAGTGCACCATATAAAAAACAGGTGGAAAATTGGACACAGCTCAGGATGTCAGAGCAGATTTTTTTTCCAGTCTGTATGGTTTTGTCCAAAATGGTCCTAACTGGTCCATTATTTATTTTAAAATTAACCCTTTAAAGCAAAGGGTATCATATTTGGTACATGTGTTTTTTAGACCTCTGCACTATCTGTGTGATATTTTTTCGTTCTTAAAGGTACACTATGCAACCGGGGTTGATTTTCCAGTGAGGCTCCCCCCAGAGGGCGAAAGTAAAAGTGCACTGTCGTAAATATGCACAGCTGTTCTCCTGGTTTCTCCGTCAAGCCAGGCGCGGTTGTTTTGAGCTTAGCAGACAGGCGAACGCAACGAATGACTGATGCTGCGTTCACACCGCAGCTGGCGCGACAGAAGCAGCGAGTTTACATGCAAAGTCAATGGTTGACGCGCGTCAAGGCGCAGCAAAAGGTCCCGCAGCGCGTTTTGAGCAGCAGGCGCAGCACGTCTGAGCAGCTGAAGCAGCGCGTCGGGCGCGTTTAAGCATCTGACGCAGGGAGAGAGACACAGCGCTGATGATCACTCCTCTTAAACAGTTTATTGACGCCTAAATTAACTTAAAATGCAGAAATCTGCCGGCAGAATATGCAGTTTGGATTATTTAGATGAAAAACACCTACCAGCTGCCGTGGTGAACCGCTAGGAGGCGACCCGGCCAGAGGCTGCTGATGAAGGGATTCCTTCTGTCGGCGCACCGCTGGTATGTGGGGGTCTGAGCGGCTCCGACAGAAAAAATATTGAAGGCAGGATAATAATCTGAATGAACTGACGGCACTGATTACGTTTTCAGGTGTATTTTCTCACTTAGAAACATATTAAAACTACTTTATTCCCACTGATCACAGCAAATATAGCTGCAAGGCAGAGAAAGGAT